TGAACATCACACTTCAGCAGGTACGTGGATTCTGCGTCCAGAATCCATATCAGTGACTCAAAACAGCCTCTTAGTTGGACTGCCGCTGTCAAGAGTCAGGCAGTCCCCCTGCTGAAAGAATAAGCAAAACAGTCCAATCGGAACCTCGTGACTCCAGAGGGGACGCACTTAGCAACCACGAGCCAAGCGAAAAATGCTAAGGTCAGGACGCATGTGCATGTGTGCGCGCACGAAAGACAAAAGAATGAAGACATGGCAAGGGGACGGGACGGGACAAAGGTGTATGTGGTTGTGATGAAAGGAACCAAGTGCACAGGGACAAACAATGAAACCCACCTCATTGTAAAGACCTAGGCCTAGGCCACCTAAAACCTGGGTTTGAAGTAAATGTGGTTGCGCACGTACACGCTAAGGCCGGGACCAATGTGCACGCAAACGAAAGAAAGGATGAGATGAAAAGACATGAAGACAGGAGGACATGAAAGAAAAGAGGAAAACAGATGTGTCCCCTGGAAAAGGATGAGAGGGGAAACCAAATGAAGGACCAACGAAACCAAACCTCACATACACACACAAGAGCTTGTAAGAGCACAGTTCAGGGTGGTCCCAAGAGACCATTAATTTTTTACAAATGAGTTGCTGCATTGGCCGACTAGTGCAAGAAGACCTAAACCTGTCAATGGCCATGCGCAAACCGCAAGGTGAAGCAGTCCGCAACAATATGGTTTCAATTCACAGATCTTGAAGGCAGGTACGTCGATCCAACGTCCCGGATCGATATCACCAGCGCACATCCAGTCTTCGCTGGTGCAAGACTGGATGGGCTGCTTGCACCCCCTTCAGCGTGCAATCGGAATGGTAAAATTGAAAGCCCCTCTACACGGGGAGTGACACACGCACACACATACACACTCGCACACCCATTTCTGTGCAGCCACAGGTCATTCGGACCGGCGCGGCCTGTGGTAGAATTCCAAGGCATTCACCAGGGTTGTCCCGCGGCATCGAACATTCCAGCGGTTCACAAACTGATCATCCAACCTGAAGTTGAAGTGATCTTTGAGAAGAAAACTTCGAGGACTAGTCAACCTTGACTAGGCAGACTCAGTTGAAGAATAGGGACGAAAACCAAAGGAACCATCAATTCAAGGCTCAAAATCCTATCATAAGACCAGACCTGGCCACATTGTCTTGATCGAGGGCCACTCCTCCTTGGGGCATTCTCGATAGATATCACGCTCCACCCACTGACAAGCATCCATCGCAAAGGATGGCCACTGGAGATGGTAGCGCAACAGCAAGTCTTCCACTTGGATCCGGGGGCCTCCGTATCTCGCGTACTCATCGCCTCCGCTGTCTCAACATGAAGAGGCCCGGGACGAAGGGACCAAAACAGGGGGTTCGGGGGGGGGTTCGTTCTTCTGGGCATCCAAAACATGGCCCATATATCATACCTTTCGTTTTTCTAGCTCACGCCTGGGCCCTCCTGGCAAAATCGAAATGGAAACATGATGAAACATGATGAAACATGTTCATCTTGGGCCAGGAAGCAAAACATCTTCATCAAGCCTTCCTCATGAGCATCCAGCAGATCTGCATCTGCCCCACTGAGGCATCCCATGAAATTCATCACGAAGGGCGATCGACCAAAGCCACACCAATCGAAGATGCCCACGTCCAAATCGCCATGCTCGTCGTGCCACAAATACGCATTGTCAGCTTGCAGATTCATGTGCATTGCACCAACAAAGTCACTAGAGCTCGCCAAAAAGAGTCGAATATCATCAAAATGCGGGGCGATGGCAGTGATTTCCTCTCGCATTTTTTCGAGCTTCTCTTTGTTCTTCCCGGCCTTGGTGAAAATTTGAGGAGCCACATTCGTGGCGAAGTCGATGCCTTTCTCCAACATCGTGGCCTCAGCAGCTGCAAACGGAGTCTGTCGTGAAAGGCTTCTGCCTCTTCTATTTGGGCCAATAAGCTACCTGACCTAATTGTGGCCGAATAGGTAGTTACTGGCCTAATATGGAACTGAGCAAGTCTCACAAGGCACTTTGATGTCGGTCTGAACAGAATCAATGATTTGTCACCCTTACTTCCGCCTTTTTCGCCGATCAGTTCTCCCTCCTGCCAACTCGGCAGCAGAATTACCCCCCCACCCCCACCATTAGCATATGCAAGAAACGCAGCCATTGGTCAAAACTTCAAAGCGCTTCTGCTTCTGAGCCTTCCTCGATTTCACCTGTGAGATGCATTGACCAAGGTGCACCGAAACAAAACTCCACAAACGAACTCAACACAGATGATGATCCCAGACGTATTGTACATCTGAAACCTTTATATCCAAAGGCTTTTTCCACACAGAAACCACACACCAAGCCTACAAAGAAAGGGAAAAAGGATGGACCCCCCCCTAACAACCCTTTCTGCATCTTTTGACCTGGCTCTCCAAGAACTCCTTCTCCGTGTACTTGGTCATTGCCCCGAAGAAGGAGTCATAGCGTCCCTGGTGGTCCCAGGCAGCCAGGTGAGCCATCTCCCGGAAGAGCGCATAGTAGACGCTGGGAGCGTCTTCCAGCAGGTAGTCCTCATCCGCGGTCGAACGGTCGACCCATGGTCGAACGGTCGAACGGTCGGAGACTCCGGCGGGAAGGGGGTAGTCTTGAGTCTTCCGAGCGGTTGGAAGCGTTCCGTTCCGCCCCCCGGCCTGATACTTCCCACAAACAGGCAAAATCTCAAAGGGCTTCCTTTGAATCGGCTCAACCTTCCCATTCACAACCTTTCCACGCTTTCCAAAGTTGATGCGCTCAACGATCAAGACGTAGTTGGTCGTATCGCGGTTGATGTCCGCAAAATAGAGCTTGGGGATCCGAAAGGGAAACCTTGGTGCGAAAGCCGCTTCGCTCGCGGCGACCTCGCGACAACAACGCCGGTCTTGCACAAAGCGTTGGCTTCCGGCGTTGAAGCGACGGTTGGCTTCCGGTGGGTTGGACCCTTGCGAAAGACTGTGCGGCGCTGACGTCACACGCGCCTGCGTTATGCAATGATGGCACGCAACTGCTTCTGCTCAAGGTTGCCAGCAGGATTCGCAGGACCAAATCAATGAAAAGCCCCCAAAAATATGGGGCAGGAAGTACCTGATCAAATACCAACACAATACCTACACCTTCTCCGTCCTTCTTCTTGCCTACGGTCGTGTCTCCTTTGTGCCTGTTTCGGCCGCGGGTGGGGCCCTTCTGCCCTTGGGCCGAGCGGCAAATGCTCACAGCAAATGGAGGTCAAGAGCTCGGCGGAGTCCATATCTCCATAGGTCGAGATCTGCATCCGGTACTGCTTGCCCGTCTCGGATTCAAAGTAATCCCATGGATACCTGAGGAGAACGGTCTGAACGAGAAGAACGAGATAAGAGAAGAAGACGAGGGACCAGGCAGAACTAGCTCAAGGATCAAGCAAAAAATGGGTTTGTACAGGCAGACTCATCCTCGGAAAGGTACTGGTTTTGCAAGAACTAAAGTTGATGGTTAAAAGGACCAGGAGTTGTTGGGTCACTTGCGATGTGTTCCCTTACTACGTAAACGCGCACACGCGCGAGCGCGCGCGAGGGCAGGCTAGTGAGGGCCGCATTCATGTCGCATGTCGAAAAGTAATTCATACAGTAGGGTTTCCTACACCACGCCACTTTGGAGGGATCCGGTGGTGGTAGTGGGGGGTATTGAGGGGATGATGGTTTGCATTTGTGACAAGCTTGTTCACGCCCGTGGCACGAGCATTGGACCCGCTCTTGCACGAACATTTGAGAGACTGCTAAAGGATTCTGCAAGAGCTTCGATAACGAGGCCATTGACTCAAGACCGCTGTGTTTGAGGCTGTCCCACTGGTCCCTTGAAATGTGTCATATGATTCTTTCAAGAGCTGGGTGCTTGGCAAAGAGCTGGGTGTGCAGGTTGGGATCTGGCTTGGCATACTGCAGGTCGATGAAGGCCTAAGTCGGTGAAGTGGCCCCAAAAAGCCCTTGCTTCTAGAGGGGCGTAAGGAAAGACAGAACGACAGAACGGAAAAAAGAGTTGGGGGGGGTTGAGCTAGTGAGCGAGAGAGAGAGAGAAGGCTCACTGTTTCCTCAAATAGAACTCCGCGTACTGTGCCGAAGGAACGGCGATTTTGTGCCGAAGGCCATTTGTTGGAGAATAGAACCAATTGTTTCGGAACTTGTCAAGCTGATTTTTCATTTTTCCTGGAGAAATCTTCAGGCACCTTGTGGCCAGCCCCTCCGGCTGCATCGAAGCCCGAGTGTGGCAGCTGCTCAACATGGACCACTTTCGTCACGTAGTTGTCCGCTGGAAGGGTGCCAAACTTGTGGAACGCATCCTTGCAACTACAACAAAGCGTTAAAGCCTGCGGTTTGAGGGAATTCAGAGTGGAACATTGAAGAAAGGTAGCAGCTAGGTCCGTGTACACCGAGCGTCCGTGTACCAGCTCGGTCCAAAGGATCTCAGTTGCTCCGCGGTATGGGGAAACTTCATGGCCGAGAAGTGCCCAGGCAGATTCTTCAAGGACATCTCTTGCATCTCTTTGTGGCTCAAGCGCTTGAACGGTGGAAGTCGACTGCGAGGGTCTGACCCTCCTTCCAGCCGCTTCGGAAGCTGCACCGGAGACGGCAGGACCTGTGCTCCATCGCGGAAGGCTTGCATCTTCTTGGCAGACTCCTTCGACCCCAAACAAAGCCAACGGAGGAACCCCCGACCCAACGTGTTCTTCCCCTCGTTTTGCAACAACACAGCTTCGACAGAACAATGCCTTCAGCTCTCCCTGGAACCCTCGTTCCAAGTCCTGAATCCAAGCAGGCTCTTCGCCTGCACGCCAGACTCGCGTGGCCAACTCCTTGCCTGAGATCCGGATACTGATCCATCCTTCCGCAGGTCCACTGCCAGACCTGGGTGCCAGACCGTGCGTCGTTTTTTCTTTCGTCCAGGTCTTCAGCACGGGCATGGTGAGGGACCTCATGTTGAATTGTTTGGAGTTCTATGATCTATGATCTATGTGTTTATACAACTTTTAATGTACTTGTATTGATTTATGTGTCCTCCATCCGACTTTTGTGACTGGATGATACTGGATGTGTGTGTGTGTGATGATCCGTTGAACTGGTGGATGTTGGTAACGCCTTTCTGGAAAATCCACTTGCACTTGCTAGCGAAGTAGGCGTGGTTGAGCAAGCATCAGCTCCTCTGCAACCGGGGTTCAAAACAACAAGTAGCTTTTTGATCCAATCTAGTGTTTGATTGTTTCAAGTGGCCATGTCTTTGCAAAAAGACTTGGTTTGAAGGGGCTCCTGGGACATCTGCATCACAGGGCACCTAACCTGAGAGGCCTCCCACTCATGTCAACCGGTCTCATGCGTTTCAGAACCTCAGTGGTGTGGGTGGCTTCGGCGGTTTGCTGGTGCCACCAACATGTGCATCCCGATGTTCCTCCCCTTTCAACAAAACATGGACATCTGAACAGTTGCGCTATTCCCACTTCCTGGAACCCACACTCTGCTTCTTAGCCACTGGAGACGGTACCGCAGCCGATCCCCTGCAAGCTCCAGCTGTTGCACCTCCGAACCTTTAGCCAGGCGCTCCTCCTCTGCGGGAGACTTCAAATCCCGCCCCTTTCGTACCAAAATGCCGCCCGCCTCGCCGCCGCCCACGATCTGCCACAGCTCCATGGGGTGGAGCTGTAACCAAGCGCGACGGACCCCCAACGGTGTCTCACGGCAAAAGACACTGTCTCACGGGTGAAGGATCGGAATAGGTTGTTGAAAGTGGAGAGCCAACTGTACCAAATGGGAAGAACATGGAAGAACGGACTGAGGAAGGATCATGAGGACAATATCATGTTCTTGAGGACTCACCATCTGAGTACACACCGGAAAGAGAGTGAAAAACCTCGCACCTGACAGCCGAGTTCGTTGTGTCACAGCCTCACGAGCGACAGGGATCTGCTTATGGTGTAGTCCGCTGATCTTCCGTTGTCTGCTTTTTACATTTGAGAAATGGTGTAAGCCTTGAAACCAGCAGCGGAAAATGTATCAAAGCAGTCTGCCGGACCACAGCCCCCTTGAGTCCACCCAAACCCTGCGAAGGTGTCGAAGGGTGTGTAAAAGAAGCCCCCACGCTGAAGCGGTTTAAGGGGAAAGTTTGCAGGCCACCTCATAGTTTCTGGGCTCGAAAACATGCTTTCCAGATGTGTCCTGTAGATCTTCCCTTCAACAAAAATGTCCTTTTTCTGTCTTTTGGTCGCCCAGTCACGCCTCTTTCCAGCTGGACAGTCCCAGCAGGTCCAAGTGGCCCAGCAGTCCGGTGACTTCGCACGAAAGATCGGGCCAAGGAGCCCAAGATGCCCGAAAGCCATCCCCGTCCACAACGAATGGCTATCTCCGTCAACGAAAAAAGGGGCTCAGACTCAGACTCAGACTCAGACTATCTCGGCACCCAAACACCAGAGAATCTGTTCGGTGCATCGGCAGTGCCCCGAACAGAGTTCTTGGGAGTGCCCGAAAACCTGAGGATCTAAGGGGGTTTTGTCCAACAGCTTCATCATGGATTTCACCATATTAGAATCCGAGCAAACCCATGTTCTGCTGTTTCCAATTCTTCCCGGTTCCCATCGTCCGCCACCGATCACGAACCCGGAGGAACGAAGCCCTCCCTCCGGGGCGGCCGAGCGACTGAACGCCACCATCACTAAAATAATGAACGTGATCAAACTGATTCCTGAGCAAAGCAAAGGGTTTTCAGCAAAGGGTTTTGCAGCAAGCCTGAAAACTTGACTCATGTCCAGAATCTGTCTGCACTGAAAATGTGTTGCATGGCAAACGCTCCAAAAAGGCCCCGCCCGTTGAACGCTCCCAAGAAACCCATCAAGGCTTCCAAGCGCTTGGGAGCAGAGAGATCGAAGAAGAGATCCATTTGATCCAGGCCTCACAGTTGCAGCCCCAGCTGGCCGGATATACACAATGACTTCTTTGACAAAAGTAAGCATCCAGGTCTTGAACTTCTACCAAGGATGCGTGTGTTCCAGCTCCATGTTAGTACGGTTTTCTTGCTCGTCAGAAGAAACGCCCCTTCTGGGGGATCTCCAAGGGGCTGGTCGCCATTGTGAACTCCCGCCGCGCTGGCGGAGAGAAGTTGCCCTTCACCACAAGCCTGTTCTTGCAGCGCACGCACGGAGCGAAGCTGTTTCCATGGAGCCCACAATTGCTTCAGAGAGAAACATCCCACGTGCTCCTAGATACAATACCCAACCTGAGACCATGGAGGGTTTCGCGTAGAAGTCTCCAAAGCTTTGGTGTTCACACCATAGTCTGTGAAAATTCTGAAACAGCTGGAAATTGGTGCCTTTTCTGGGGATAGACTTTTTTTATGAGTGGCCGGCTGGCCTGGCCTGGCCGGCTGGCCTGGCCTTTTTGGCCGGGTGGCCTTTTGGCTGGTGGCCGGACACGAAAAAAATATAGTGTGCCTTTTCTTGTGCCCTGGTCACCATGTCTTTCTGGTGTTTCTTTCAACTATGCTGCTTGTGCCATCGATCTTCTCGCCGGTGCCAGACACGGTATGAGTCAGGCAACAACGTGTCTGGCTGCCAGGAAGCTTGACGGTGCTGGAATCCTTTCCGCAGTCCAGCAGCTCCTCCGAAGAAGGGTCACCTTTGGAGAGCCGATAGCAAATCATGAAGGGCCCATAGTTGGAGTCAGCGTAGAAGTCCGTGAGGCCCCTGCGCGGAAGTCTGTGAGCAATTTGCTGGCCTCTGTAGTGGGAACGATCTCTTGCTGGTCGTTTGGGTACTCAAGTGAATCGGTGCTTGACTGGCAACGTACTGATTCACTCGAGTACTAAACTTGACTAGCAAGAAAACTTCGCTCAAAATCTCGTCGTTGAAAAAGGAGACCTGCCCAAAAGTTGTCACGGAAAGACAAATTCCACTGTGTTATCAAAGAATGTGCCCGCCTCAAAAGCTCCTCCATCTGCTCCCCCTCAGCTGCAGACTGACCACCTCGCGTCTTAGCTACCAGACCCTCAATCTGAACCGGCGTGCGGTTGTGTGGGAAGGCCAAAGATGTCAAAAAGAGCAGAAAGCTTGCTATTTACTAGCGCAAGTTCCAAGATTAGTCTATATACTATATACAAGCTCCCCCAAAAGCCCTTCCAATGATCCCACCTTGAGCGTAGCTAGCTACATCTTCTGAGAGGAATTTGCTCCAGGCAGTCAGCGACTCTTCCATCTCCGGATACTCAAAAATACTCAAAGACCTCAGCACTTCAGCCGACACTGAAGTCTCAGAAGCATCTTCAAGCAAAAGCTCCAGCAAGAGGTTGAGCATCATCACTGGAATCACGTCCGTTTCTCTGACTTGCAACAGGCAGAATAGACTGGAAATGGGTTGAACATCACCGAACAATAACATCGGGGGTCATACAGTAACAGGCGACATCTGGATCTCCCAATATAGATCCTGCTGCACTTCAACATGGACCCGATTGATACGCATTGATACGCCCCGATGTAGGCTGAATGCCCTGTGGTGAATCCAAATTTGTTTGCTTCCAAATGGTCCCAAAGCGTGAAGCTTCACTCGAAACAGAGCCAACTTCAAAGTGACTGCTTCTGGCGCCCACCCCTCACCTTTGAGATAGACGAACCCCACATTCTGCCACATCCGCCTCGAAAGAATTCCACCTCCCAAGCTCCCCCCGCCGTTGCTCAAGCCCGCCACGGAAGAACGACCGCCACACAGATCACCACGAAGGCCACGCGGATTGACAAGACATCGGACCTCGCGCGCACTGAACCGAGGCGGATCGATTGGGGGGGAGGCGGGCGGACCGGGGAGGAGGATGGGTCTTCCGAGTTGGAGAAAATGGACGGGCTATTTGCTACTAGTAGTACTGGCCTCCAACCTACTGGCGATGGCCTCCAACCTACTGGCGATGGCCACCAACCTACTAGCGATAGTCTCCAACCTACTAGCGATTGCAACTCCAACCTACTAGCGATGGCCTCCAACTCCAACCTACTAGCGATGGCCTCCAACCTACTAACGATGGCCTCCAACTCCAACCTGCTAGCGATGGCCTCCAACCTAGAAGCGATGGCCTCCAACCTACTAGCGATGGCCTCCAACTCCAACCTACTAGCGCCTCCAACCTAATAACGATGGCCTCCAACTCCAGCCTACTAGCGATGGCCTACAACCTACGCGCGATCAACCTAGAAGCGATGGCCTCCAACCTACTAGCGATGGCCTCCCAATGGCCTCCAACCAGCTAACGTATCCGTTTCTCCAAAGGAACTCGTTCAGACTCTTCTTTTGTCTTCACGCGCAGGTGCGCCATTTTTGGGAAAGGTGGCGCGGCAAACACTCTGAGACCGTAGCAGCTTGTTGGAGATGACTTTGGCCATTCGAACCTCTGGCAAGCACTGGTTCAAGAGTGTCACACCACTCAAAAAGGAACACTTCTATATAGAGGAGAGGAATGAGCGACAGCCGCTCTGTTGCTCTCCAGCTTCCTTCTAAGTCAAAGGTGGTACCACCAAGCTCACCCTGCAAACACATATCTGAGAAGGGGGGGACGAAAGCCAGCTGCTGCTACAGGGGGCAGGAGCCCTACGCCGATATGTAGTCAACCTCGCAGGCATCCCCACCGAAACTCAATCCAAACTCATGGACACTTTCGGCTCGCGCCCTTACCAGCAGGCTTTCGTCGTTTGCTATAGCCGCCACTGCCTGAACACTGCTATGCCTCTTGACTTGTTTGTGCAACCAATTGCAAGGGTTGTGCTACAAGAAAGGACTTTTCCACGGCATGATTAGCATAGCAACTACTGATCCACTTGGGCAAGGATCAGACCTGCTAAAGACCATACCAATGCCCGGGACTATGCATTGTGACCATGTTTTTGCCACTCTGAGCAGTGGCCGTTTTGGTCACTGGTGATAGTGATGTGAAGTCCATTTGACGACTTCGTTGGGATTTTGCTAGTGCACCAACCTTAGCTGCCAAGCTCTTCTTTCGTGAATTCAGGCCCATAGATAGTCAGCAGTCAACTTTCTCACTTGCTTCACCCTCGTACAGAGGAAATACTACTTGATGGTGGAGTCTCGGCCTGTGGGCTTTGGTTGTTTGTTTTGGTTTGTTGTTGGGTTGTCTGTGTCTTTTTCTCCACCATCTGATTGTCCTGGAAACTCGTATCCTACGTGCGGCTGCGGTCTGCTCTGTACGTGGGTCCCTGTCTCCACTCGAGTGCTCAATGCCCATTGTCCAAATAGTCTCCAAAGCCCTTCATGATGCTAATGATACACACTCGCATCACTCGCATCACCAGACCCCATTTTCACTGCTTTTCGGACCCTCGCTTTGGAGCGCTCTCCCCCAGTTCCGCTCAGCCCTTAACTCAATTCGCCCTAAAAGCTCAAGCCTTGCCTATTGGCTGGCTTTCGTAATCATATTGTATATATCAATATAGAATTATGTCACACAAAAATAGAAAACGGTTTTGCTCCAAGTCTCACGCTTCGGGGATCCTTGCTGACAAGGCACATTTCGGGACTCTTCATCCTCTGTTCCAGACAAGAAGCGCACGATCTTCGCGACCTGGGCGGGTCTTCGCTGGGTGAAGCTTGGACGGCGAAGAAGCCAAAGGACGGGGCCAGCCCAAGGACGGCCAAGTCACTTTCGATGCTGTAGACTCTAAGACTCTTGACTAGTTGACCCCATCTACTGGATGCTTTCGGCTCACGAAGTTGAAGCATCTATCAGCAGAACCTGAATTCTACCCGAAAGCGTCATCCAATTGTATTATTGGGGCATTCATTGGTTGTCCGTGTGGCCAAACAAAGCATCCTCGACAAGATCTTGTGAAGGTGAAAGCGACTTCTCTCCCCATCCGCGATCCAAAGCCACAGCTGCTACCCCTTTTCAGCAGGTCCCAAACGCTGCTCTTCAGCGCTCCAAACGGCGGCGCGTCTTCCCTTCGGCCCAAGGGGCGCGGCTCAAGCGCCCCGCGCGCGCGCCGATGCGGGCGGCTCGGGCGGCGCGCATGACGATGACCTCAGCGGTTGGAGGTTCAGCGCGGGCGGCGCTCAGAGTGGAATGGATGAGATTTTTTTGGGGGGGGCTCATGGGCAAGGCCACTCTGGGCAAGTAGAGTTCGTCAGAGTTCTCCCGAACAAATGGGATGAGATTTTTTGGGGCTCATAGGCAAGTAAAGGCCGCTGTTGGATGAATCCAGTTCGAGGGGAAGGCTCCAGTTGGTCCAAGTCACACCACCTCCAGCGCTTGAAGAGGTGTGCAGCCTGCAAGTCAGAAAATGTTCAAGTGCCTTAAGGTTCTCACTTTCACCGTGCACTTTGGTGCAAAACATATCTCCCGGTCCAGCCAAACCCAACAGCTTGTCGTGCCTTTCGATGGACATTGCATCGGGACCAAACATGTAAGAGATGTCGAAGACCATCCTGGCACGTTGCTCAACACCACTGACTTACTCCTTCGCGCTCATCTCATAAGCCGAATCCATTTCATCAAACAGCAAACGTGTCAATGTGCCATCTGCAAATTCTGACCCATCCAATAGGAGCTTCAAAGCAATATGGGAGGGAGGAAGAAAGAAAGAACGGACGAAGGAAGGGAAAGGATAAAGGGGAAAGGGAAGAGGAAAAGAGAAAGAGGTGCCAGAGACCAAGGGCAGGAGCTTCACAGGAAGGTTCCTGGGTAAACAGAAGTAGCAGGGCTACCAATTCGAGCTGGAGAAAAGGTAGCCAAGTCCTGTTTGCTTGACTTGGTTTTGAAATGGCCAGGAGCACGAAAAGGTTCCAATCAAGTCCATGTAGAAGAAGAAGCTCATGGGATAAGTCCTGGATGAGGCGACGGAACTGAATGCGGGGCACTAACTTCCAAAATGATTGGTGGACATGACTAAGACAGTTGACGAAACGTACTGGATGACAAGACCCGAACATCTATTGCTCTTTAGAAAACCTTATGTATGATATGTCATATGTCTAACGTTGGTTTACCCATTCACAAGTCTGCCCAGCACTCTAAAGGCCCTCGTTGATGAAATTTTGTACTTATGGTCAATTGTGAAAGATGCTGAGGACAGCCCGGCGTCCTGTCTGAAATCGCATTCAAAAGGAACTCGAAGACAAAGAAAACAAAAGCTACCTGAGCGACAGTGCGACAGTCGCACCAACCACCAAACCCCCACAGTAAGAATCAATCGTTTGAGACCAACCACCAAATCGGGGAGATTCTTTTCTGCCCATTGGCAATAGGAACTTTTGGAACCACAGTGAAAGAACCGTTGGACTCCACCGTTGAGTGAAAAGAATTCGTTCGGCAGGCTGGAAGCTCCTGCGGCATGGCGACTGGAACCGAAGCTCAAAACGCGTGGGCTGAACGGCGCATCCTCCCAATGCCATGTTGGCTGTTCCACCAACATGTACTAGTGACCATCTGAAGTTTGGACTCAACATCGTGCACAAGGTCGCAGGTTTTGATTGGGCACCACTTGGGCATCCGAACCGTTCAATGGAAGACGGTCCTTGTTGCACACCGGCAGACGGTCCTCATCCAGAAACGACTCAGCGTCCGGGACCAGCCGTCTTTGGCCAGGCCACGGTCAAAATGGCATCGCACAGGAGGTTTCCGGGCACCTCGGATTGGTGGGAAAACGCCGACTCGGCGGTGCAAGAACTCTCCGCTGAGTCGGAGGGCCCCTTCTGGTGGTTCGGGCACGGCACTCGCTCGTGAGGTCCCGAAAGCGAGGCTTGCCGTAGGCTGAAGAAGTCTGATTCTTTGATTCTTAAGCCGCTAGCCGAACGCCACGCCTCGATCCAAGATTGACTTTCCAGGTGTCATGAAATGAAAGAAGTGCCCCGAAAGGATGGATGGAAGCATCAATGGATGGCGGTCTGACTCTGTGTTCCATGACGGTTGGCACCCTGAGCCCTGAGCGGCTGAATTGCAGCCAGCAAACACTCATAAAGGCACAGAAATCTCCACAGAAGAGTGCAATGAGAAGGCAAATGAAGGAACCTCGTTTTGATGGCCGAAATGCGAATTTATACCATGACATGTTATATACCATCTCTTGACTCACCATGATTTGATTCTGGCATGTGATGGAGTTACTGGACACCAAACAAAACAGAGAACTCGAGGCCTTTCTTTTTTGGAGGCTGCTTCTTATAATAGTAGTCTGACTCTGCATCAAATTGGACAAAAACCTACTGGTGACGGGCACGCATCTTGGGTAATGTCCATTCAATCATCTCGAACAAGGAGCAACTGTAAGCAATGAAAATAGTTTGAGACCATCTGCTGACATAACCCTGACTGTGTTGGGAGCCAACGTCACACAGACCATCTGCTGGGGCTGTGGATCAAGCTCAGGCAAGAAGCATGCGGCAATCAAGCTGCCTCTCATGACGCTCCGCAAGTAGACCACCTCCATCCACTCCGGCTTTCGGCTTCGCTTCTGGAAGCCAAGCCGGCCACCCAGACCCGGGCCGGTCAGTGGCCGGCTAGGCTTAGACGGTACGATCAAGTGTAGTTGGAACACCGCCCATAGAGGGCCTTGGTGCTTTTGAAGCTTTTTGGACTTGTCGCACCAGTGAGGGCCAATCTTGGGCGGTGGACCTAGTTAGCATATGGATATCTTTCGGGCAAACAAAAACAAAGATACCTCCAGAATGCCACTGCTTCCGCCCGAAGTCCAAGTCGTCGTCGTCCAAGTCCTCCAGACGGTCAGCCCACCTGTGGTCTCTGGAACCACTTGGAGCGATACAAGAAGTTCCGGACGCTGGGACGTTCCATGAGCTCCTGCGACGTAGAAGCGGAGCTCATGTGAGCTTCGTCACTTCGTCACTTTTCTGTCAGACTCAAAGGGTCCCATCTGTTCCTATTGCGTCAACCATATGAAACATCTCACATGTTTATGTTATCGTGCTATCCAGCACGGTTGCTAGGGAACAAGCATGCTACAAACACACAAGGGAAGGTGGCATGTTCAGAAGAGTTTCCGGTGGCATCTTCGCATGAAGAACGTCATCAACTCACTCCAAGCGTTGGCACGCATACGACGAGCGTTTACCCGTTGTACTCCGAGCGTTTCTTCATTCTGGCCTGCAAAGGGATCACATTCTTCAAATCACCGTGCACAAAGTGCACAAAGTTCTGCCGTGCATCAAAGCCCTTCTCCACATTCTTTTTCTTCGTTTCATGGGTGGTGATTTGGTACAAAGTTGAAGGCCTCATGAAGGCACGAGTTGATTTGGTGAGAGGATTGTGTTACCAAAACAAACAACAAGTGTTGTCGTGTGGCATCACGATTACAATTTGAGTAGCATGCAACCTGGTCGAAACACACCCTATGTTGCATGTAAAGTAGCAACAAGTGTGTGTATATATAATATACATACTATCTACATATCATCTACATTTTGTATAATGTAAGGATATCTACACACAATCATATAATATACAACTACATATGTAACATGGGTGTGTTCTTCTTTCGTCACCTCTTGGATCCTCAGAGGCTCCATGACACTCTAGCACCATGACAGGCCAAGACACCCGTTCAGGTTCACAGTGCGCTCGTTCAACAAGGGCGACTTTTGGCTCGACCCGTAGGACCCGTGCGACTGATAGGCAGCATAGTTGCTGAAAGACATGGCGCGCGGCTCGGAGCGCGGATCGGAGCTCGTCAAGTCAACATTGGGTAGAGAGAAAAACGGGAAGGGATACCTTTGCGCCGCTTGCGCCCAGCACGGAGTCCTTCTTCTTACTCGCGGAGCTGTCAACCCTGATCTTGGCAGCTGCTGTGGCGCTGCAAACTTAACACATTTCAAATCAGCTGAGTATGCTCTACAAAAAAGGTGGTCAACACTGGTCAGGGATAGAGCAGTGAATGATGCCTTTTCAAATGTCAACCTGTGGTAAAGAGCCATAAATAGACTGAAGTGAGCAGTGGTCAACAAACGCCAAAAACTGTTTTTGTGCAACAATAACCTTTACCAGTCGTCCAAAATCCAATTACGTGTAGATTCAATCAAGTTCCTTAAACCAAGTTTGACTGAGAAGCAAAGAATAATTTTCCGTCTAGTGTTCATTTTGGTTGCAAGGCAAAACGTTTCATAAGAAACTCCATTCACGTTCTTTCAAGTTCAAACCATATTGAATCTAACAACAATGAAACTACCTGTAAAATGACAACCCCATGCTCTCAGATATTTGCCTCAAACGATTGCAATCTATATCCAGGATTGGGGTTACTAACCAAGCCTTCCGGAGATCCCAACCACCAAATCTCCAAAGTTCCTTGATGGGATTTGTTTGCGTTTCAATCACCAAAAATTAAGAATCACGTTCATGATGGTTGTTCCCTTTTGAACAGGATGTCTACCATTCGTCGAAATATTTTCGGACGTATTTTTTATTTTTGCGAACGCCTTCTGAGTCGAGAAAGAGCAGTTTCAAGTATGTGTACAATTCCCTGATTTGATGATTTCAATGTGATTGATGGTGAGTTTTTGTTCACGGCACCACAAGAATCATGTTCTCTGGGCGTTTTGAGAATACTTGATTCGACGATGTTTCACTCTCTCTATACCGGTTTGGCTAAACCGATGTAATCGAAGACCGAATGTAACAATCATGAAGCAGGAACCATGTCTAATGTTTCAAAGGGTTGACGAACTTCACGCCAAGAAGTACGAGAAGTAGGAATCATTTGCGTCAAAGGCTCGGGTACGCGAAGGCCCGGGGAAGAAATCATCGAGCAGGCTGAAGAATAGGAAAATAGAAAACAGAGCTGTGGTGGAGATAGGAGCCGGTGGCTGCGGTGAAGAACAGTCAACGGACATGTGAGAAAGTGCAAGGTAAAAGGACAGGTGAGGAAGAGTAGGGTAAAAACAATCAGAAAAAAGAAAAGAGAAAAGAGAAAAACAAATTGAGAACGAAGATGTCGTGGACTTTTCAACGCGAAGAGAATGCTAAGAGAATGCTAAGCTCAGGGAAGCTTATACGGCCTCGACCTGAACTCAATCACGAGGTCGGTCAGTAGGAAAGGGAGGCTCCAAAGTATGTTGAGACTCCGTCGAGGTAGAATTCAAAGACATAGATCCTGAATCGGGTAGGGGAAGTGGGAGATAGGATCGATGGAAGAAGTTTGGGCAGGAGCGGCCGAAGAAGCTGCGGATGAGCGGTCCGGATGGAGGGGAGGCTCATGTGGTTGGCAGGCTTGGTGAAGTTCTTCCCGATACGTAGTGAGAGTGTGGACAACGCCGCTAAGGAGTTGTTCTTGCTGTGGAGCGGGTAGGCCCTGAAGCAAAGGTACCTTGGAAACATCAAGCTGGGAGAAATTCTGCAAGAGGGCTTCAACTTGATACTGTACACTGAGATGCTCCAAATTGTCCACAGCCTGTCTCTTTTGGCCCCTGCGGTGAGCAGGTGTGTGGCTGAGTTGTTGGGCAGCGGCAATACTTTCTTCTTCGGCACGAAGGGCGGCTTCGTAGCGTTCGCATTGTGTCCAAATGGGGAGGCTTTGCGTGGCAGAAAGCACAAGTTGCCAACCCCGGGTGCCCCACACTCGTGAGTAAATCGAAGGCCATTGGGAAGCTGGATGATCGTCAATAAAATAGCCGGTTGCAGATTTGTAGTATTCGATGTCATTATGATCCCAGGGAAGGGTCTTGTGGTGGAACCAAGCACGATAAAACCAATAGCGTAGCTGGTGGCATCGGCGACAAGCCCATTCCTCAAATGGTTCAGCAACAGGCCAAGCTCCGTGGGTTGAATTGTGAATTTGGCGAGCATAATCCGTATAGTCCTCGTTGTATTGGTTCTCGGATCGAGGGATGCTCGGCAAAAGAGTAGGGTCCGCGGGAGGTGTGGAGTCAGCCGTGTAGTCCAGGTAGGCCTGATGTGAAAGACTGTCATCGGGTGGAATCTGTGTCGGAGAGGAATCTTCCGAAGGGACGCGAACATCTTCTGGTTGAAGGTCCATATTCTGCATGTCAATTGAAAGGTGAGAACGTGTACCAATGTGGAACCAAAGGGCTGGAACCAAAAGGCTGCGGAAGAATCGGAAAGAAGGAATAATTGCAACCGAGATGAAGATCAAGGTGTTCCGCCGAAAGGAAGACAAGTTGGTAAGGGGGGAAACGAAAACTGCGCTTGCAGCTTACAAGACAAACAAACAAACCAAAAAATATTTGAGTCACAGTATCGGTGGTTTAGTTTTCCTGCAGCCTCCCCGCCAACAAACAGGAAAAGCTTGAGCACTGCACACTCAAAGAAGGGGGCCTTGCCAATGCCCTGCAGCAGTCTGCTTCGCTCGCTAGGACTCCAGATCGCGAAAGGAAAGGCCTTTGCAACACAAAACTTCAGTGTCACGGTGTAGGTTATCCAGTTTTCCTGCAGCCCCCCAGCAGACGTGCAGTTCCGAGGACCTTGCATAGCGGCGTTTCACCTTTTTCACGTAGTTCATGGGGCGTGTAGCGCTCGAATCGCAACATGGAGATGCTGAGACTGTCGAGACACTTGCCAACAGAGTACTGCCTGCAAACACTTTCTGAGTGCGACGCATTGTCGCTTTGCTTCGTCGTTGTTGCTCCCGTTTGCCATTTTGGAGCCGCAGTCATGGGGCACGCTCTTGTCACTGCCTTCCCCCCCTTGGGGGGGGCCAAGGATGAGGGACCGCTCGTCTTGGTCCAACTTGTCCTAGTCAATGAGCAGAGTGAGAAGCTTTTGGTTCAAACAGCAAATGAAAGTAGTCTGCCACACATGGAGCTCGACGACTCATCCAGGCTTAGCACTCCCCCTGAAATGGAGCCGGTCATGGACTGCTCCTTGGTACTGACAACGCTCTCGGGGGTTACTATCAAGGTCTCTCTCAGTGTGGCAAAATTTGATCGATTTGAGGACCTAGAGGACCAGGTTATGGACTATCTGGTCTCAGTTATTGACCTTCCGTAGCCTTTTGGCTCAAGCAACTCGAGCAAGAACGTTCGGACTGCCGCCTACAGCGACAATGCCGCTTGACCAAGACCGTTATGATCGTTATGAGGTCAGCATTGATTTGGTGACGATAGCAGGTACGGAATATGCTATGCAGACAAATCTCGCTCAGTATGAGGACGTGGCAGAGCTGGAAGATGACATTCTCTGCTTTCTGCCAACAGTCTCTGATTTGGATGTCTTTGGCTGTGAGTTGGACTTGCTCGACCTTCACACGCAGCGACCCCTGCCAGAAGCATTCCATACGGTGCTCCTGCAACGGCCGAAACTACAAATCGTAGTACGTCCCTGCATGGTAGATGGACACTCCATCTGGCAGTTCCAGGCTGACGGTAGGGAAAGCTACCCCAAGGCTATACGCATCCCGGCCAACCCGCGCGGAGAAATTGCTGACAGAGCCTTCTATGCTGCACCCGTGCTCCGGCACGTAGAAGTGGCAATGGGCATTCAACATGTAGGATTCAGCCGAAGAGTGTTTGCGGAGTGCTGCTCCCTTGGTCGAGTTGGTGTCAGTCAAGAAACGGATGACAGTAATGTCCTTGCACCAGGGGCACAGCTAGGCAGATATGCATATGAGAGTTGTCTCACACTTACATCCATCACCTTTGTCATGGACCACACCAATAAACCTCGAGCGCTGCCTGAAGGCGCATTTTGTGGAGCAGGCATTGAACAGCTCTGTTTGCCAGGTGACTTTCACAATATCGGGCCACGGGCCTGTGAAAACTGCAAAGGACTTGTGGAGGTCAACCTCATGTGCACAGAAATCACAGCCCTGCTCCACTCCACCTTTGCCCACTGCGTGGCTCTGAATTGCATTTGGCTTCCGCCGCGACTAACGCAAATTGGCAAAGAAGTCTTCCTCAATTGTGTTGCGCTCCAAGAAGTGGTCATCCCGACAGAACTCTGTGACATAGGCATCCGTGCCTTCTGTGGGTGTGAGCAACTGCAACGATTCACGCCCCTAGATTGGGGGGAGATTGAACAGTCGGTGCAGGCAGAGCACAATGCTTTCTTTATGTGTGACAAATTTGAAAGACCACTGTGGGTGGAGCTGCTCCCCGCTGAAGGACCCGATTCGGATGCCTTTGACGAAGAGCATATAATGAATTTTCCTAACATCGGGCCAGTCCAGGCGGGGGTCATGGTGGGTGCCTTAGCATCTGTCTATAGAAACATCCCCGGCTCTAGAAACAGTCAATGAGCAGAGTGAGAAGCTTTTGGTTCAAACAGCAATTGAAAGTAGTCTGCCACACATGGAGCTTGCCGACTCATCCAGACTTAGTACTCCCCCTGAAACGGAGCCGGTCATGGACTGCTCCTTGGCGCTGACAACGCTCTCGGGGGTTACTATCAAGGTCTCTCTCAGTGTGGCAAAATTTGATCGATTAGAGGACCTAGAGGACCAGGTTATGGACTATCTGGTCTCAGTAACTGACCTTAAAGTGTTTGGGTGCTCCATCGATTTTCTGCAAACTGCCACGCAGACATACCTAGAGGACCCAATCTGGGACAAGCTGCAGCAAAGCATGGAATACACTATTGTCTTCAGGGATAGCAGTGTAATCCTGCCATCGCAGGAACAACTCGAAGGATGCCCTATCTATCATGTTCCGCTTGCTGTTCATGTCCCCATGAACATAGAGGAAGTCGTCCCGGAAGGGGCATTTGCAGGTGTTCCGCGTCTGCGACATGTCAGCGTTGAGCCAGGTATCA